CGAGGGTTTGGATCCCACGTGCAGACCGGTTCCCGCTCACTGGCTGAGCAAGGCACGGGAGAAACGCCGAGGGTTGCGATCCCGTTGCCGGTCCCCGGTCTGGTACGGAGGCAACACTGAGGGTTGCGATCCGTTGCCGGACACAGAAAAAGACAAAAAAGACAAAAAAAAAAAAAAAAAAATCAGAGAAGGCAGGAAAAGAGTAGAAGAGAGAATATAAACAAACAATAGGAAGAAAGAAATAAGAAAACAGCTACAGACATGGCAAATACTAATCCAGCTACGTCAATAATCACTTTAAATGTGCATTGTCGGGCCGGCCCGTGGCTCACTCGGGAGAGTGTGGTGCTGATAACACCAAGGCCCCGGGTTCGGATCCCATATAGGGATGGCCGGTTTGCTCACTGGCTGAGCGTGGTGCTGACGACACCAAGTCAAGGGTAAAGATCCCCTTACCGGTCATCTTTTTAGAAAAAAAAGAAAAGAAAAGAAAAGAAAGAAGAGTGGGTTGGTGGCAAAGTGAGTGGGTTAAGGGGGGAATGGCTGCCAGAGCAAACGTGACCATAAAGTGAATGTGATTCAAGTCGACGAAGCGCATGGACAAAAATGCTTCCTGTGGCCAAATTGGGGCGATGTCTCTTTCCACTCCAGTGTAGAACAAACCTAAAAACCGTCCTTGGGACAGAAGTAAGGAAGTTCCCGGTGTTCAGCAAACCTCTTCCTCTCAAGAAATCCAAAGGGGAAGTCAACATAATTCATAAATGACCATAGGACCTGTCGTAAACACAGATAAATTAAAAATAAAGGGATAGAGAAAGATATACCACGCTAATGCTACTCAAAAGAACATAGAACTTGCTGTATTAATTTCAGACAAAGCAAACTTCAGAACAAGGGAAATTATCAGGGATAAAGAGGGGTATTACATAACGATAAAGGGGTCAGTTCTCCAAGATGACACGACAGTCCTTAATGTGTTTGTAACAACAGAGAGTCAAAATATATGAGACAAAAATCTATAGGACTGAAACAGGAGAAATAGGAAGATACACCGTTGTAGATGGAGACTTTGTCACCCCTGTCCAGCAGGCAGAAAATCAGTGAGGACAGAGTTGAACTGAAAGCGCCTTCAGTCTGCTGGATCCGACTGACATTTATAGGGTATTTTATCCAACAACAGCAGGACACACCTTCTTCTCAAGCTCACATGGAACATTCACCTTGATAGACCACATTCTGGGCCATAAAATAAACCTTAACAATTTTCAGAAAATACAAATCATGAAAAGTATGCTCTCAGAACAAAGTGGACTTAAACTAGAACTACATCAGTAACAGAAAGATAACTAGAAAATCCCAAAATATTTAGAGGTTAAATAAAATAGTCCTAAATAACACATGGATCAAAGAATGATTCTGGACTTGTATAAAAAATATTTCAAGCTGAACAAAAATGAAAATACAGCTTGTCAAATCTTGAGGGATGCAGGGAAAGCAATGCACAAGGTAATTTATAGCAGTGACTGCACACATCAGAAGAGAAGATCTAAAATCAGCAGGCTGAGTTTCTACCTTAGTAACTAGGAAAAACAGAGAGAAAATTAATCCAAAGTGAGCAGAAGGAAAGAAATTTTAAAATGAGCAGGATCAGTGAAATTGGAACCAGGAAATCAAACAAGAAAAATCAACAAAATCAAAATTTGGCTTTTTGAGAAGATCAATAAAATTGATAAATGTCTAGCCCAGGCTAACCAATAAAAAAGAAAAGACAGAGCCCTGATACTATAACTGAAAGAGGGGCATCACTATTGATACCATGGATAATACAAGGATTATTTATAAAGAATATTATGAACAACTTTATGCCAATAAACTTGATAACTGAGATGACATTGACCGAGTCCTTGAAAGTCTACCAAAACTCAGACAAGGAGAAAGGCAATCTGAGTAGGCCTGTATCAATTAAAGAAATTGAATCAATAATTAATAACCTTACAAAACAGACATCACCAGGCCCAGATGGGTTCACTGGTGAATTCTACCAATATTTAAAGAAAAAAATGGTATCAGTTCTCTACAATTTCTTCCAGAAAATAGAAGCAGAGGGAACACTTCTGAATTTATTCTGTGAGACCAACATTACCCTAAAATCAAAACCAGAGAAAATATTACAAGAAAGACAGTATCACAGACCAATATTTATCACGAACATAGGTACAAATAGCAAATCAGCTCCAACAATGTGTAAAAAGAATTATGTACCACAACCAAGTGAGACTTATCCTAAGTATGCAAGGCTGTTTAATATCTGAAAATAATTAATGTAGTCCATTATATCTACAGCTTAAAGAATAAAACAATCCCATGATCATATCAGTAGATGCAGAAAAAACATTTGACAAAATCCAATATCCATTCATGATTAAAACTCAGTAGATTAGGAATAAAGGGGAATTTCCTCAACTCTGTAAAGAACTTCTACAAAACCCTATAGCTAACATACTCCATGGTGAAAAACTAGATGCTTTCACCTGAAGATCATGAACAAGGCAAGGATTCCCCCCTCACCATACCTGTTCAACATTGTGCTGGAAACCCTGGCTAGTGCAATTAGAAAAGGAAAGGAAATAAAAGGTACAGATCGGGAAGGAAGAAATAAAACTTTGTTCCAAGTGACAGGAGTGTCCCTGTAGAAAATCCCAAAGAGCCAGCAACAGCCTAAAATTCCTGGAACTTATAAGCACTTGTAGCAGTGTTGCAGCATATGAAAATCAATCGCTTTCCTGTATTCTAGGAATGAACAATTGGAATTTGAAATTAAAAACACAACATCATTTGCATTAGCATCCCCCCAAAAATAGGTATAAATCTAACAGGGTATGTATAAGATCTATATGAGAAAAACTACAAAACTCTGACGAAAGAAATCAAAGAAGATTTAATAGAGAGATATCCCATGTTCGTGGATAGGAAGACTCAGTGTTTTTAAGATGTCAATTCTTTCCCACTTGTTCTATAGATTTAATACAATCCCAGCAAAAATCCTAGCAGGTTACTTTGTAGATATCAACAAACTGATTATAAATTTGTATGGAAAAGGAAAAAACCCAGAATAGCCAACATGATATTTAAGAACAAAGTGGGAGGACTGACACGACTCAACTTCAAGACCTACTGTAAAACTACAGTAATCAAGACAGTGTGGTATTGCTGAAAAAATGGTCCAGTAGATCAGTGGAACGTAGGGGAGAGCCCAGAAATAGACCCACCCGGGTGCAGTCACCTGATCTTTGACAGAGGAGCAAAGGCAGTTTAGAGCAGAAAGGAGGTTGTTTCAATAGAGAGTTCTGAAAAAACTGAACACACCAGTAACAAATAGAAAGAGTCTAGACACCGATCTTATGTCTTTCACAAAAATTAGCTACAAACGGGTCATAGACCTAAATGTGCAGTGAAAGTCCTAGAAGATAGTATAGGAGAAAGTCTGTGACTTTGGTTTTGACAATGAGCTTTTGGATACAACACCAACACCACCTGTGAAAGGAAACTTGATAAGCTAGACTTCATTAAAATTAAAAACTTCTGTGCCACAAAAGACACTGTTGAAGAATTAAAAGATGAGCCACTGACGAAGAGAAAGTGTTTGCAGAACACGTGTCTGACACGTGGTAGCAAAGCACACAGAAGATAAGAAGGTGTTTGGGGGAGTGGGGTAGGGATGGGCTAGGGAGGTCCTAGAAAGTCCCTTTCTTTCCTAAAACTCCAGGAAGCACCTTAGAGCATCTCTGGCCACATTTATTAGAGTGACCCTGAGGAGAGAACTAAAATGGTCAAAATTGTCGTGCGACTTTGTTTTCACCTTCTTAAGGAAATTCATGATAAAAGGTAAAATCACCTTGTAGACGTAAACTAGAGTAGAAAATGGAAACTTCTCTAAGCTGATGGAAACCTAATGCAAAGAAGCTTTAAGCAACAGACAGACATGGATTTCCTGTGGAGCGTATGTAGAAACCAAATTCAGAACATGTGGGATAGCTCAGGGCCGTGCCAGGCCTTAGTTACTGCTGTGCATGGTAGGAGCTCATGTCTGTGATCCTGGCATCCCGAGCACTTGGCAGGAGGGCCGGGCAGCTGGCCCCAGCGCTGTCCGATGAAGAGCACACAGCTGGCCCGGGCGGGTGTGCAGGGTACCTCTGCAGCCTGCAGTAGACCATCTTCACTTAAGGGGAGGAACATGTCAAATAAAACTTTAAAAAACAATTTTGAAGCTCAGTGTTTACTGCAGGTAAATGACATCTGGGACAGATGGGTTTCAATACAAAAGTTGAGTGAAAACTCTCCTTCTGAAGCAAAACCAGAGTTTGGAGAGGACGCAGTGGCCGGAACCACCCTGCTTCTGTCCTGGCCGTCCCTCTGAAGAGAGGAGGGGGGCTGTCGCGGCCGTGCTGGCAGATACAGAACCCTCGACTGTGTGGAGCCCGCCTCCAAAGAGGGCCCAGTCACACTGTCACAGAAAAGAGACGATGAAGACGTCAATGAAGTTAAAATACTCAACACATATGTTTTGATTTTATGATCACAGGTTTGCATTTTATGAAAGACATCTTAATAATAACACTTTTTGTCTTGAATTCTCTGGAATTAGGTCATTTATATATGCTAGTTTTGGAATACACATTCTGTTTTAGCAGTTTGTTTTTGTGGTCAACAAATTGGTAAAATGTCAACAAATACTCTGTATTTTGAATTATGAGTCTTTGTATCCAAAACTAAACATTTCATACTTTGAAATCCAGTGTTACTAATTAGGTAGTAGAGTAACACTATCAAAAGTAAAATCTGATCAAAGTGACATACTTTTGTTTTTCTTTTATGCAGTACACATTTTGGAACTTCATACCCAAGAACTTATTTGAACAATTCAGAAGAATAGCCAACTTTTACTTTCTTATCATATTCCTGGTGCAGGTGAGCTGCCGTCGTTGTTTTCTGTCTCATCACATGTGCATCTGAATCAGTGGCGTCTTATTCTCGGCTAATTGACGTGTGGCTTGTGAATGAGAAGAGCAGACCGGGTGCTCCTCGTCTGCACTTTATTCGCTGATTTTCTTCAAGGACAAAGCGCGTTGGTTCTGTGAGACCCGTACACTGTAGACGCTAAAACATGCCCAAGATCGCTTTGTTTCAGTTGGTGATGGCCACTTTTGTGCCACCATCCTTCCAGTGCTGGGGGGACATCAAGAGCTTTGTCATCTCTAGGATAAGTTCCCCAGCCATGCTAAGCCTTGTCACACTTTTACACTCTTTACTCAGTGTGTGCAGTGCTCCAAAGGAAAAAAAAGGTTGCACTTGGAGAGAGAGCGGGAGGGAGGGTGGGAAGGCAGCAGGGGTGCACGAGGGAGCAGTGTGTGATGTGTTTGAAGAACAGTAATTAGTTTTTCTAGTTTTTAAATTTTCCCAACTTTAAATTTTCCAAATAATGTGATTAAATTGTGACACCAGAGACAGAGTAGCAAATTAAAACCAAATGCCCGCTGAGACCTGCGTCTCTGCCCCTTATGGAACAAGCCTTCCATAAGCACATCCCTTAATTAAAGAAAACTGCCCTCAGTTTTATAGTCAGTAGAAGATCTTACCTCTTACCTAACTTACCTCCAGTGGTAGGATCAAGTCGGGGGATGGTACCAATAAAGTGTTTTAAAATAAGTAGAAGAAAACAGCTGGGTCGTAGTAGATCAGGGTAAACCAATCTGCCTAAGACCACTGATTCTGCAATTCTCTTGTTCTTGCAGCTGATTATTGATACGCCCACAAGTCCAGTAACAAGCGGACTTCCACTGTTCTTTGTCATTACTGTCACAGCCATCAAACAGGTAAGCACTTTACAGACAAAAAAGAATAAAGCCATTATCTTTGTCATACAGTATCACCTTTCATTCACAGCAAGGTAGTTGGGTTTGTTTTAGCTAGCTCATGGAAAATTTAACCAAGTTCTAGAAATTCATTTTCATAATTGTTTTACATGGATACTTGAGTTATAATAAGAGAGGTTATATAATCTAGTTGCTGGTTAGATACCTTTGAATTTGAGAAGAGAACTGTGGTTTTCATATTCTGAATGAACCCAAGATGATTTCTGCTTGTGATGAGTAGCTTAACCTTTCTGTGTCTTCGACTGTCTTGACCACAGAACATGATACTTACCAGAGGTCTTGACGTGAGTTTATAACACAGCATGCTAACTTCCTCTGACTCACACAAATGTAGATCATATTCTTTTTTGACCTGATAAATAAAGCCAGTGGCTGACATGAAGTAGAATGTCTCTGTTTTTTCCCACTATCCACTTAGCCAGTTTAGTGGTGCAACCTTAGCACTATCTAGTTCCATAAAATTTTCAGTGCCCCAAAAAGAAACCCCCTACCCATCAGCACTCACTCCCCATTCCCTCTCCCCTCACCCCCTACCAACATCTAGTCAACTTTCTGTCCCTATGGATTTGCCTATTCTGAACATTCTATATAAACAAAGTCATACAATATGTGGTCTTTTGTGACTGGCTTCTTTCACTTAGTATAGTGTTTTCAAGGTTTATCCATGTTGTAGCATGAATCAGTACTTCATTCCATTTTATGAATGAATCATATTTCATTCATAAAATAATATTTCATTGTGTGGATATACCACATTTTGTTTATCCATTCATCTGTTGATGTGCATTTGGGATGCTTCTACTTTTTGGCTGTTGTGAATAATACTGCTTAGAACATTTATGTACAAGTTTTGTGTAGACATAGGTTTTCAATGTTCCTAGGAGTAGAATTGCTCTGTTCTTGGGAACTGGCAGTGTTTCCCAAACTTACTGCCCTGTTTACATTCCCACGAGCAGTATGTGAGGGTTCCATCTTGTCCACACTCTGGCTAATGCTTGTTATTATCCATCTATTGTACTGTAGCCATCCTAGTGTGTGTGATGTGGTATCTCATTGTAGTTTCAACTTGTATTTCCCTAATGACTCATGATGCTGAGCATCTTTTCATATGCTTATTGGACATTTGTAAATCTTCTTTAGAGAAATGTCTTCAAATCATTTGCCTATGATAAACTTAAGTTATTTGTCTTTTTTATAGATGAGTTGTAAGAATTCTTTAGATGTTCTAGGTACAGCTTCCTTATCTCCTGCAAATTTTTGAACCTGATGATTTTTGTATTTTCATGTATTATAGGTTACATTTTCATTTGAGACATGGATAATCTGCAAAATGACAGCTTTTAGTTAAATTCTAAATAGTCAAATTCTTGATGACAAAGCTGTGCTCTTCTGGTATTAGTCTTTAAATAAGAAAAAAAACCTGAAACATACTGTACATGAGACATGGTATAAGTGCAACCACTAGATGAGAGAGGTAATGAAGGCAGCATATTGCAGAGTGATTCACTCCAGATCTTAAAAATATGGAGTGCGGTTCCCACGTTACCGCAGTGTATGTGTGCGTGTTTCTAAGAGTGCCTCCAATCCTCCTTCTGGGAGTCTCATCAGTCTTCAACATGAGAATGTCTGGATTTGTACTTTTTTAAATACAACACTCTGAGGAGCATTTAAGAGTTACTTAATGATAATTCGAGTTTTATTTCTCACTTGCTAGTAACCTGGAAATGCACATTTGAATAACAATATGACTTCATTTCATACCCATTGGATTGGCTTTTAAATGAGGAAGTCTGAAGAGCGACCATGATGGCAATTGGTGAGGCAGCAGGACCAGCGAGGAGGGCAGGTGGTCACGTCTGACAGAGCTGAGGACATGGGTACACAGGGATCACAGTGCATCTAGTACATGTTGCATGTTTGTGTTGCTAGACCGCAGAGACATTTAGCATGCCTGCCAGGAGACGCGTGTGCAACATCCGTAGTGCTTGGCTCTGTGTTAGTGAAAACTCAAACAGCCAGGTGTCACCCAGTGAGGTGGTGGGTAAATCCGCTGTGGTCTGTGGCAGAATACAGCGCAGTGACTGAACGAACTACACAGCATGGAAACAAAATATTGAGTGGAAAAACTTAAGTGGATGAAGGATACATTTACCATATATTACTTATGTGTTTCTAAACACTTAAAGCACGACTGTGTGGTTTATGACACATGTGTATGTAATAGAGGTACATACATATGTAATAAAACCACAGGCAGCAAGGAGGTGCACCTAGTTTTGACTCTTGGGGGTAGGCATGCGGGACCGAGGCCATGTGCCATGTACTTGCTCATCTCTGAGCAGAGAGTGCAGAACAGCTAGTTCCTTCAATGTCAGTTGCTCTGTATTTTTGAACAACTTCACACGCACGCACACACACACACACACACACACACACAGAGCTGGTGCAGAAAGCTACTGAGGGCGTCAGGAGAGTCACGGAGCAGGGAGCAGGAAGGTATATCAGGGGGAACCGCTCTGGGAAGACGCAGATGAGCTGGGGAGGTGGGCGGCAGTGCGTGAGGTCCCTGTAGGTGCTGAGGACAATTGACCGGAGACACGGAGGGTAGACACTAAAACACATGCTCCGTGCAGCTAGGACACAGTCAGTGCCTGTGGCCAGGCCATCCTGGAGCAGGCACCACCTGCCTGTCCTTTGTCCCCTCCTGGCAGCCCCCTGAAGGGTTTGTTGAGAGGGGTTAAGCGAGGTCGTCTGTGTTCCAGAGTTCTGGGACCTGCAAGGCCCTAAGTAACAGAACTGCCTGCTACACAGCCTCATCTCCAGTGGGTCTGCCTCTGTCTGGAGAAGCCCCTTCCTCTTCTGCACATCGTCCTCTCACCCAGCCACTTGCTCCAGGAAGACCCCCTGCTGGGCTGGACAGGCCCATGCCTTCAACGTGCAGGGTCGTCTCTCTTTGGCCTGGGCTTTCCCAGACTGTCTCCAGCAGGGACACGTGTGCTGGGGTCCCCACGGTCCAGGGGCTGTCATGGACGCTCGTCCCCATGCCCTCTTCTCTTGACTTTGAAATCTCCCTGCATGCCCTGGAGCCACCTCCTGGTTCTCTCTCAGACTCATCCTCCCATGCGTCTCCCTGGGGCACTAAATGGCATCTGGCTCATTGTACCAGAGGTTGTACCTCTGACCAGCCCCCCTCTTGCCAGAATGACTCTTCCAACGTGACCGGCCCCTGTTCGAGTCCCCTCCAGTATCACACCTGCTGTGGCACACGGAGCCCTTGGGTCGCCCTGCTCCCCTGCCAGGGCCTTGTGTTCCGCAGGCGTCCATGCTTCCCTTTTTTCCCGCCGGGCTAGCCGGTGGGCAGCCCCCACCCGTCCATGGCACTCCTGCCATCCCTGGGCTTTCCTGCCTGTCACCTCTGCCTTTACCAGCAAACACTGGGTCATCCTGTGGGACTAGCCCTGACGTCTCTCTTCTGATTTCTCCCGTAGCTCCAGGACTGGGGCTTCTCCCTGGTGCTGCGAATCTCTCACCTGCATTGAACCTGCACAATTACCTGCCTGTCTTTCCCACAAACCCAGAGAGCTGCAGCAGTGGGGACAGTTCTTTTGTTTTTGTGTCCCTAGTGCTTAGCACTTACTGGGCATATAGTTGGTGCTAAATGAAAGTGTGTTTAATGAACCCAGGAGTCATCTACCCACTGCTGCCTTCCAGGTAAATAGTTCTTCAGTTTTCCCAGAAAGGGAATAGTTTAGCAATTTGGGAGAAACCTCTGGAGAAGCACTCAGATGCCACAGCGTCCCTTTATAATTATCACATCTGGAGAAAATTCCTCCTGTTTGGACATCCCTCCCTCCCAGGCTGCTCAACTTTCTGAAAGCTGAAAGTGCATCAGGTTTTCGTCTGCTTGCTTGTTTTCCCATTTGAACAGACTCCAGCTCAGAGGCGTCATCATCGCAGGACAGCTTGTTGGAAGGGGACCCTCCTGTGCATCCTGTGCGACACTGTGGGGCTCTCCCGCTCCACAACCCACCCAGCACAGGTGTAGCAGGGCCCAGGGCAGGTTTTCTGTCACCATCTATGTGGTTGTGTATGTTCCGCAAAGCCAGATCTGAGCCCCGATCCTTAGACGTTCACTTGATGTGGTACACAGCTCTTCAGGCACCCTGTTTTCATTCTTTCATATGCCGGAAAACAGAACAGAGAATAGGTGATTGATCACCCGTAAGTTAAATGCACCTTGTCATCTGGCAAAACACAGATCGAAAAGCACAATAATCAATGTAGAAAATGTTTATGTGCTGAAGTCTCCTGGTGTCGGTTCTTTCAAGTTACTACACCAAACTCTTGGACCTAAAGTGTGTGTTTCCATCTCTGAGAAAGAATCTGGGTGTCTTTGTGCCTGTTTAGGCAGAGAAATCAGCAGAGTCGTCGGCAATACACATCAGGCAGGTCAGGCCACCTCTCCAACTCTTCAGCCAGTGCCCAAGTTTGCACAGAAGCAATCGATAGCAGTGATTCCCAGTGGTTGTCACCTAAAAAATGCAGATATGCACAGAGAACAGTAAGGCTGCTGTGGGTGCCACGGAGTAAACTGAGGCCCTTTACTAAGTCTGGGTTGCCGGATCCAATAAGAGAGTTTTTTAATGAAAGAGAAGTGTGGCCAGTCTGTGCATGTCAAAGTAGAAGGTTTAAGTTCAGCTGGTGGGAATATAACTGGCACTGAGTTCCTTGAAGACCTTTAGGCATTTCCTTTGACCTGGACATTTCCTTTCTAGGCATTTTTCCTAAGAATATGTCATGGATATGCACAAAAATATAGTTATAAGGATGTTTATCAAATAACCCCAGAAATTTCAAGCAACCCCAGTTGTCATGGAGAAATATCCAGGCCATACCCAGGAAGTATCCAAGAGTACAATGTGGAATAGTTTGAATACTGTGATCCTAATTTTGAAAAATTACACCTTCACGTGCAAGGATTATGTTTACACACAATTAATCGTGGGTTTTTCTCTCTGTCCCTCCTCTTCCAGGGCTACGAGGACTGGCTCCGCCATAAAGCCGACAACGCCATGAACCAGTGTCCTGTGCACTTCATCCAGCACGGCAAGCTCGTGCGGAAGCAGAGTCGGAAGCTGAGAGTACGTAGCAGCTGACACGTCAGCCTGGTTTAAAACCACTGACAGTTTTAAACGTAATAGTTTTATTTTATTTGTCAAAATGGGTTATCTGACAAAAAAAGTTTTTTATTGAGTATAGGTAGGCTCAGCCCCTCTAATACTTCCCACTTCAGGCAGGCTCCTGCTACCACCTTTTTAAAAAACTTTCTATACTTATTCATTTACTTTATTTTTTTTTTTATTTTTTATTTTTTTTTGTCTTTTTGTCTTTTTTCGTGTCCGGCAACGGATCGCAACCCTCAGTGTCGCGCCCGTACCAGACCGGGACCGGCAACGGGATCGCAACCCTCGGCACCGCGCCCGCACCTCACTCAGCCAGTGAGCGGGAACCAGTCTGTATGTGGGATCCGAACCCTCGGCGGGAGCGCCGCCGCGCTCTCAAGCAGCGCACTGTAGCAGTGCGCCACCGGGCTGACTCCCATTTACTTTATTTGTAATAGACTGTTTTTTTTGAGCAGATTTAGGTTCACAGCAAAGTCGAATGGAGAGTGTAGAGACTCCCACATCCCTGTCACACCCTCCGCACACACCGCCTCCCCACCGTCGGCATCCCACACCAGGATCATCTGGATTTTAGAGTCATTGTAAGATCGTACCAGCCAGTCAAGACAGGGAAAGCTGTAAAACACTCTTAGAAAATTTGTTTTAGAATAAGGTAAAATGTCAATATAAACTCCTCTAGGTGGAAAGTTATGAAAATTAGGGGCGAAACCTCATTGAAAGTTGCATTTTTAATATCTTCTTTAAGTGAGTTATTAGTGTCACTCATACATCATTATATGTTTAAGTATGTGTTTCCATTATTTAAGTGGATTAGTTGTAAGCCTATGGTAGCCACTTAGAAACACCTGTGTGTGTACAGGTGCCAAGTAAGGTTTTCCAAGTTGTCCCTGAATGATGGTCACCAACCTACTTTAGTCCATGCACTGACTGTGGCCTCAGGTTCCAGCCCCAGCCGTCCTCTTCCTGCCATCCTGGCAGAGCAATCAGGAGGTTCCCGTAAGGCAATGTGACCTCATGGTCAGCGGCGGAAGAGCCAGCCTGCCCCTCTCCAGCCCAGGCCTCGGCTTCCAGGCTCATGCTTGACACCATGAAGAGGCAGCCTTCGCAGCCCCATCAGCCAGGGCTCAGTGTCCCTGGGGTGAGACAGGCTCTCCCAGAAGGCATGGACGACAGGGGCCCTTCAGAAACTGCATCATCAACACGTGGCTCTTCTGTGTTAACCTTGTTCCAGTTATTACCTGTATTGTCCATGTTACTGAGAGCATACTTACGTGTTTAGACATTTTGGACCTATATATTTTGCTATCCGGGTGTTTTAGTACTTCTGAATGGGCTTTCCCCTGGTCAGTTCAGGTTGGTGGTGGTCTGCTGGAAGTCACGGGGTCAGAGAGCTGCTGGGCTGGTAGCAGACAGACCCAGGCCTGAAATGCAGTTTCCTTTAACAATTAAATTCCACTACTTTTAGATAAATGTCTCTTTCTTTAAAAACACACCGGAACAGTGTCTGCCTGCAGGAAATTGAACTTTTGATGCCCTGGTTTCCTTTGGGAAGTACCTGCTGTAAATCCCCGGTGTATTGTAACTGACAGAATTCTGAACTGATTGGCCAGAATGGGCAGGAAGAGAGACCAAGCTTCGACTGCAACTCTAGGCATCTGCTTCTACCAGCCGTAGTGACTCAGGCCTTGGAGGACACTAGAGCCTCTTAGAAAAGTAACCCATTCAATTTTTTAGAATTAGACATTTTATTTTGAAGTAATTATAGAGTCACATGTGGTTGTAAGGAGTAATAGAGACATCCTGTGCCCCC